TCCTCTGGCGAAGTAAATTGATATTGACACAAATGTTCCACCTGTTGCTAAATACCTAGATATTTGAAAAATAAATAGGACCTATATTAAAACGACGTATTAAATCTAGTGAAAACTAAAAAAACGGAATTTTACTATCCCTGAATTATTTTATTAAAATATAATATATAATAATATATAATATATATATATATTATAATATATTATATAATAATTAATTATTATTTTATATTATTATTAATATATTATTAATCTAATAAATTTATTGTGACGCAGATAAGTATTATTTATAAATTATCATTTTAATTGTAGTGGGAGAATGTAAAGAAAAATGGAAAAATTTGCGAGCAGTTTTTGTTCGGCATATGAAACCAGCTCCAAGTGGTTCCGGAACGAAAAAAAAGCCGTACTATCTCGCAGAAGCTATGCAATTTACTATTCCATACATTAAAACTTTAAGTTCAACTACTGGAAATGTACCCAATATACCAGAAGAGAATGAAAACCAAGAATTCAAAGAAAATGACGACTTACATGACTCACAACCATTATCACCACCTCAACCATCAACTCCAAACATTCCAATAACATCGGTTACTTCTCAGCCATATTATACACAATATGCAAACTCTACTGAAACACAATCTCAGCCAACAACTCGACCAAAAAACAAACGTGCCATTTTTAAAAATGATGCAGTTGACAAAACTTTTATTGAATATCTAGAAGCCAAAAAAGCGAAAATTGATCGTGATCCCGATCGCAATACTAAACAAAATACAAAAACTGAAGCACTCAAAATGTTCCTTTTAAGCATGATACCAGATCTAGAATTAATGAACGATGATCAAATACGAACATTTAAACGTACATGTCTTCAAACAATTGATAACATCTTGTCTCTAAATTCCTATAACAATTATTCTCCTGTAGCATCAGTTGACTCACTAGTATCTCAAGCAACTACACACAGATCATATTCAATAGAAACACCTCATACATCTAGAAGTGTAAGCGACTCAGCTAGTGTTACTCATATACCACAATATGAATCTCTAGAAACATCTGAAAACAGTCAAATCACTGCTGCAGATAAGTATTACAACGTAGTTAAGGAAGCTTTTACAGAGAACTACGAACCATACAATACACATCAAAGCTTACAATGAATTTCAGTAATAGTTATTAGCATACACAATATGAAAATAAAAACATATTTTGAACCTATAGCTACCTAAAATATTTTTAATTTATAAAGTATTACCTAATTGAATATAATTCATGTTTAAAAAATGTAGTATCATATTGTTATTATTCTTTTATTACAATAAATAAATTATTAAAATTAAAATTACTTTTTAGTTACTTACCTTAGGGTTATTAATAATCTTTCTTCAGCGCTCACGCATTCTCTCATGTTTGTGTTTTTCTGTCGTATATAAGGAGTTATCAGTTGCACTAAATTCATATAACTATCCTTAGACATACGGTAAAAAGCAATAAATTTAGAGTCTGTTTGTTGTAGCTCCTTTGTTGCTACAAATAATCTGCAATGAATGTTTTTTTCAAGATACGGATGTACCCAATATCTCCTTTTCATTTTCTTTTCCTTATTTCTAAGGTAATGGTACATTACCATAATTTCTTCATCACTGGAATCCGTACTTGACATGGTTGTATAACAAATTTGTATGACGTGTATACCACAACTGGCACAACTATAGTAAAACTAACTTTCAACTTTATAACTATACACTACAATACTTAACTAAGCTTTGTAGGTCGTACAGTGTAGTACCTAAGCGCTCATTTCGTTGTGCAAATTTATGATTTTGGTCACTAATGAGTAGCTTCGTGTGCGGAGCCGCGTCTGTAATCAGTTTGTGATTTTATAGTGATTCAAATCACTTACTAGTTTAGTTTCTTTTTAGTAGCTTCGTGTGCGGAGGGCCTAAGATTTGAAAATGTAATACAAGATTACTCATAAGTTTGTCTACCTTTATCAATAAAAAAAATATCTACCGGACACACAAATTAAATTTTTATGAGTGTTTGAAATTGAAATTTTTACAACATTGGATGTTCACTCGATTTCTCATGTAGCGATTTCCTTATTTTGTTGTTATTCATAAACGAATAACTATAGATACATGAAAATTTCACTGAATGTTTATATTAGTATTACCTATACACCATACAATTTTGAAAATATTTTGACTCTTTTTGAGCTGTTTACGGATATTTTCATTTTTCAATTTTTTTAGTTTTTTTTCTATCAATATTACAATATCAGTTGAAAAATATTAAAAATACATAGGCACAATTTTTTTTTATAAGCATTTAAACATCAAATTTTGACAGGATTTTTCAAAATCTCGAAAATGATTAATCATCGTAATTAATAAATTATAAAATGTTCAGTTTTTATAGCTAAGGATTGAAAATTTAAAACAAGATTCCACGTAAGTAGTTAATTCTCTTACCGAAAAATCTAAAAAATATACAATCACAGTTTATTTTTATAGTCATTTTATGTTCAAACTTGGACGATATTACATATTAAAAAACCTAGTTATTTTGTTGTGATTAGGTATATAATATTTATTCGTGGGTACCTACTTGAAACTTCTAAAATGTACTATTATATATCTATGATAGTATCAGGGTTTGTTATTGATGTTGATATATAACGTGTTATAAGTACCTAATGGATATTGTGATAATGTGATATGATTAATTTGGAATTTATTATAGGTCAATATTTTGTTTAATACCATAGATATGTATATAATTTGTCTTAAACCTAGACTGAACCACCGTCTTCGCTCAGAATCGTTTTTCTTATACAATGATATTGTATCATTGAATTCAAATTTAATAGCATCCGTATAATAGATAATAATTTTTCTTTTAACTCCACAAAAATCAAAGATATCGAAACTGTTGCTATTATTTGGCTCACGACAATAAGTGAAAATCTAAAAACAACAACACCAGCGGATTCCTAAGCTTAGTAAATGTTTTTTTTTTATTTATATTAATTTACTTTTCCTTAAACTAAATAATTTATTAATATGAATCCATGTTAGTCTGTACCAACTAGTTATTGTAATAAAGTATTGTTGATGTATTTTTTATACTAAAAATTGGTCTTAATTTTTTTTTTTAGAAATTATTACCTGTTACACTTATACATTTGAAATCACATTATTGAAATTGAGATTGAAATGCAAGGTGTTCAATGAAGTATGCAAGTATTAAGTTAAATAATAAACTTATTTTTTATCTGTTAGGTATATTAATTAAATAAGTAATATACATTTATACTGTTAGGTACTTAACTTATATTATTTTAAATGTTAATCTTGACTAGTTATATTGTATTGTCATAAGCTAAAGACCGGATTTATATGTTTTTACATATCGTTACTGGGTCTATGCAGTGTTATGAGAGTAAAAAATGTGGACGATTCGTTCAATTCTGAATGCGTAGAAAAAAGTTTTTTTTGCATATTTGAGAATATTTCATGGGTTGGAGAATATTTAACCCATTTAGCATATTTTGGAATATTTCGTAAATTGTGAGCAAAAATTTGTATTTATTTTTATTAATTTGAATATTACGGTACTCTGAAAAATTTTTTTTGACCATTTACAATTTTTTTTTTTTTTCATTTTGATAAAAATAAAACACGCAGTATTATCAAGGTTTATCTATGTATATCTACTGATAAGATCAACTTATAAGTTTATCAAATATTCAAATATCAAAATTTGGTTTTTGTGTTTTAATATTATACTGTTGTATTTATATTATATTCCAACTTCTTACTCTTGCTAAAGTGCAATACTATTCCATGAGGTATAATATGCAACTCTTAATACCTAATTAATATCTCACTATAAAAATATAGTTGAAAATAAAATTTTAAAAAATAAATGCATATTAAAGCATATAATGATGTTTTTTGATTATTTTTGCATATTTTTTAAATTTTTGAGAGAATATAATGAGAATATTTGAAGGTTTTTTAGAGAATATTAGCATCATATTTTGGGTATTTTAAGAGAATATAAATCCGGTCTTTAGTCATAACGTTATTTTAATGTATTTTATTTGCTAAAAATTAAAATTACCTATAATTATATTTTTTTTTATAAATGATTATTTTTATATAAATAAATTTGAAATTACATAATTTAAATGCAAGGTGTGCACATTTTAAGTTAGACAATACCTATATTATATTTAAAACACTGGACTATAGTCATTCGCATTTATTAACAATATTATTACTACATAATGAAATTGGTTAACTTAATGTTTCAACGTTAATATATTATGTGATTATTTTCTTTTTATAATTTGAACTTTAGGTATTTAATTTTTTTAATCGATCACTTAATTCTTATAAAGATGATTTTATTTTTTTTCTATTTTGAAGCATATGTTTAAGATTTATATATTATTATAGTATAAGTATTGATTTATGTGTACCTATTATACATTTTTAACAAAAAGCTTCAATGTTAATAAATTATGTTCGGTATTATTTTTTTTGTATAATTTTAAGCTTATATTATATAATATATGAAATTTTTTTATTAATATGTATCAATTGATAATGTAATTAAATAATGTTATTTCATTTTCATATTGTAAAATTTATTTATATTAGGTAGGTACCTACACTATATAAATGATTTATTGATGTATGTACCTATACACCTTTGAATACATATTATGCATTGTTAGATTAATTGTATTGATCAATGAAAGTTAAATATTATGATGGTCTAGTTATGTTTTCCTTAGATATCTAATGAATATCTTGACAGATATTCCATGAAGATTTCTATCTTTTCTTGAGTATTAAATTAATATCTGAGTGGGTATCATAGGTACCATATTCCATAAATATCTCGATAAATATTTTCTAAACGTTTACTATCTAACTACCTAGTGAATATGCTAATAGAATCTATGAGTGTATGCATCCTACTACTTCTCAAGCAAGACATAGTGATATAATAATTAGGTATATTCTATTAATTTATTTAGCCCATTGTTGAATTTACATAGAAAATATACCTATAAATTCCAAAAAATATGCCTATTCATCGTGTTTGAAAAGAATATAGATAATACAATTATAATTTATATTATTGCATGAGAAGCATATAAATATTCATATATAAATTAGTTTTTTTTATATTTGGGATAATATGCATTATCTACTCTAGTTTAAGTATAGGTTTATATGTATTATTAATGATTAACAAAAAGTTTCAATGTTAATAAATTTTGTTCGGCATTCTTTTGTTTTTTATAATTTTAAACTTAGGTATATAATATACATGAAAAATGAAACGTATATACATGACGTTTTCACTGGTATTTATATTTGCATTTTCTATACATTATAACATTTTCAAAATATTTTGATTTATTTTGAACTGTCTAGAAACATTTTCAGTTTCAAATTTTATTAGTATTTTTTTCTATGAATGTCAATAAACCTTGAATAAAACTTTACTTGTTGGACAAAAAAGCTTGAAAATATAATTATAAGGCTCCTGATATATTGTTACAATGACATTTAAAAAATATTAAAAATCCCTAGTCATAGCTTTTTTATATAAGCACTTAAGTTAAAATCTTGTCAAAATAAGGAAAAATCACAAAATTAGCACATTGGAGTTGAGAATTCATAAAAATATCCCTTTTTAAATCTAAGATTTGAATATTTAATACAAGATTATTCATACGTTTGCATACATTTATCAAAAAAAAATGTCTACAAGCAAATCAAATTAAATTTTTATGAGTGTTTGAAGTTCATATTTTTACAATATTGGATATTCACTTGATTTCTCATGTAGGTAGCGATTTTCTTATTTTGTTGTAAATCAAAAACGAACCACTGTACATAGGTACATGGAAATTTGACTGAGTTTATATTATAGTTTTTTTTTTACTATAAATATCAATAATACTTTATTTGCTGGGTCAAAAAACGTGAACATTTAATACAAGACTCCTGATATATTATGCAATACCTAGCAGTTAAAAAATATAAAAATATGTGGGCACAATTTTTTTTTTAATCATTGAAGTTCGAATTTTCATGAAATTTATCAAATCTAGTAAAAACGACAAACTTGGTATAATTTTGATACTTTAGAGTTAAATCATACACTTACGTACAAACAGCACGGGTTCCGCAATCTATCGCAGGTAGATTGCCTACCTAATAATATACTGCTGGGAATCAGAATTTTTATTCCGGGCAGCAGAAAAGTTAAGATAAATCTAGAACATCATACACGGAATATTAAATAACGCATTGAACAAAGTTTGAGTCATAAACAGTTTGTACATTTAACGGGTAACGAAGTGCACGGGATCAGCTAGCATAATAATAGATAATAAATAATGAAGATGATAGAACATACCACTTTCGTTACGCTGTTGTCCCGGAACGCGCTGATGAACAGCTGACGGACGGAGTGGCCGCCACTGGCCGGTGCTTATATTTGCCGTATTTATAGATGGCCGGCGTAATCGGTGACGGCGATTTCGTGTCGACGACGGTTTGTGCGGCGGCGGAGATTGGCGGTGACGACTGACGAGTCGTTTTATTATTCACCTCCATCGAGATCGAATGCACT